AGACAGGGTCTCACTGTGTTGCCCAGGCTAGAGTGCAGTGGCCTGATCATAGCTCACTGTAACCTCCAGCTCCTGGGCTCAAGCGATCCTCCCACCTCAGCCTCCCGAGTAGCTGGGACTATAGGCATACACCACCATACCCAGCTAAGTTTTCTATTTTTTGTAGAGACGGGGTCTCGCTCTTGCTCAGGCTGGTCTTGAACTCCTGACCTCAAGCGATTGTCCCACCTTGGACTCCCAGAATGCTAGGATTACAGGCGTGAGCCCCTGTGCCCGGCCCAAGCCTGTTTCTTTATGTGGAAAATGAGACTAAACATACTTATTTTGCTGGGTTGTTTTGAAGATTATATGGATTACTATGAGTCATGGACTTAGACCAGGGGTCAGAACCTTTTTTTCTGCAAAGGGCTGGACAGCCAATATTTTCGGCTTTGCAAGCCATTTGGTCTCTGTTGCAACAGCTTAATTCTTCCATTGTTATGCAAAAGAAACCACAGACAATTCACAGATGAATGGACACGGCTGTGTGCCAACAAAACCATTTCTGGACACTGAAATTTGACTTTCATAGACTTTTCATGTTATCATAAAATTTTCTTTTGATTTTTTTCCAACCATTCAAAAATGTAAAAACCATTTTGATCTCAGAGGCTTTGCAAAAATAGGTGGCAAGGCCAAACTGGGCGTATGGGCTGTAGTTTGCAGACCCCTACCTTAGACAAAAAGTCTTGCATATAAAAGCTTTATTTATTGTTCTTTCCAAATATTCTGGAAAGACACCCCAAATTGTATTTTTTTTTTTAAAGAGACTGGGTCTTGCTATATTGCCCAGACTGGAGTGCAGTGGCTGTTCACAGATGCAATCATAGCTCATTACAGCCTCAAATTTCCAGCCTCAAGTGATCCTCCTGCCTCAGCTTCCCCAGTAGCTGGGGTTACAGGCACACAGCACAGCGCCTGGCTCCCAAATTATTAACGGGTATCTCTGCAGGATGGTTTCAGAGGACATGGGACAGGTTTCATTTCGCTGGGCAAGGTTTACTATTGAGAGGGTTTTTAGACATTCTGTGATCTGCTGGTGCACACGAGAAATGATAATAATGCCATTTTTTTTTTGAAATGGCTTAAGCCTCTATCATCTCCTGACTGGTTCTTTTTTTAATTTTAATTTTTATGTTTTAATTTTTTATGTTTTTGAGATGAGATCTCTCTCTCTGTTGCCCAGATTGGAATGTAGTAATACAATCAAGACTCACAGCAACCTCAAACTCCTGGGTTCAAGAGATCTTCCCACCTCAACCTCCCAAGTAGCTGGGACTACAGGTGCATGCCACCATGCCCGGCTAATTTTTTGTTGTTGTTGTATAGACGGGGTCTCACTATGTTGCCCAGGCTGGTCTCGAACTCCTGGCCTCAAGCGACCCTCCTGCCTTGGCCTCCCAAAGTGCTGGGATTATAGAAGCGAACCACCGCACCAGACCCTGCTTTTTTAATGATGTGTCCCTACAGTAGAATACTATGCAGTGACTCACATACCATGTGATAAGACAAAGTCTGTAACAGAAGCCATGCTTAGTGAAAACAAGATGCAAAGAATAGGTACAGGATGTATCATTGGTGTACAAAGAGGATGTATGTTCAATTTCCAGGTTATGAGTTTGCAGAAATCTCTGCTCTTGCAGGATAGGTAAGGAAGTGGTAACGTTGCTTGCCTGAAGGGAGATTTGGGCAGGCTGAGCCAAACCTGCCCAGAAAAGGGCTTGGCTTTGTGTACCTTTTGAATTCTGTACCACGTGGATCTTCTCGAACTCAAAACACTATTGCACTTTTATATTTAATCATGAAAAGCACATGGCAGCATTGAATGCCGGGATGAGGAAGACTGTATTAATCAGTCTGGGAGTTCAGGCTGGAAGGTAGTGCCTGGAGCCCTCCTCCCACCCGACTCTGGTCCCCAGCTCCCACTTTGGCCATGTTCCCAGCCGCCTGTCCTCACCTCATGGCTCGGAGTGCGAGGCGATAGGCCAGGTCTGGGTCATGAGGCAGCAGCGCGGTGAACAGGTAGCGGGCACAGGTGTGCATGGGCACGCTCTCCCGGAACAGCACCTCTCCGAAGCCGCTGAAGGGACCCCCTGCAGGGACAGCCTGCACTCAGCCCCCAAGTATGGGCTCGCCTCTGCTTCTCCCCAGGTCTCTCCAGACCTCAAGCTCAAAGTGGAGGATGGGTTGGCCTCAGGACAGAGTGGCTGGAGCCAGGGAGGTCCAGGGGGTAGGGGCTCAGGGCTGACATTTCAACAAGCAACAAGCGCTGGATAAACCAAAGAAAAGAGGAGACCTTGGGCACATCTGGTGGGGGCAGGACTCCGATGCAAGGTGTGGCCAGAGGGTGGAGATGGGGCTGCACCTGCCTGGAGGGTGGAACCAATGACCAAGACCAGCAAGGTCTAATAGCATCAAGGAGGGCCTAGAAGGGGCAGGGCCAAGTGGCTCCCTGCAGCAGTAGGGGGCAGGCCTCATGACACACAGGCCAATAGAGCCAGACTATGGGCGGAGCCAGTGAGGCCCAGGGTGGAGCCAGAGGGCGGTACTTGCATTGTAGATGGGGATGGGTGGACTCCCTTTAGCATCAACAACTAGACTCATTGGCTGCAAGGCAGACAGGGGGTGGGGTCTCACCACTCACAGCAGTTATTGGTTGCCAGCAAGCAGTAGGGGGCGGGACCAAGAGCTGGATCTCACCTTTTGGGAACCGCCAAGGTATCAATGGACAGTGAGGCCCAGGAGGCGGGGCTAGGGGCGGGGCCTCCCTATCCCGCAGCAAGGAGGCCACTACAGGACCAGGGGCAGGAGCTACCTTTTGCCGGTCCCAGGGGCGGGGCCTCCCTATCCCGCAGCAAGGAGGCCACTACAGGACCAGGGGCAGGAGCTACCTTTTGCCGGTCCCAGGGGCGGGGCCTCACCTTCCAGCAGCAGCCCCGCCTGTTTGCGCAACACCTGCACCAACCGCTCATCCAAGTCCACCTCCTCCAGCAGGGCCAGCAGCTGCTCCTCGCTGCGCACCACCTTGTCCTGGGCGTACAGCCCCTCTGGCAGGGCCCGCTGCTGTCCCAGCCCCAGCAGTGCCACCTCCAGAGCTAGCACCAGGTAGGACTCCCCAGGGCTCCCGGGCATGGGGACATGCTGGTAGGCCACCTTGCGCTTCTCGGATCCTGAGTCTGGGGACAACAGGACCCGGGCTGCTGGAGGTGGAGCCCCTTCCCGAGGACCCCCATAGCCCTTGGTCCCCCTATGGAGCCTGGGGGGTGGCATGGGCTTTACAGGGAGCCCAGAAGCTCCCAGCACTCGCCAGAGGGTGGGGCCCCTCTTTCTAGCAGCAGCTCGGCCTATGGTGGCCTTACTTTTAGGAGAAGCTAAGCCTATTGGCTCCTGGCACGGGCCATGGGGCGTGGTCAAGAGTAAGGGCGTGGCCAAGGGCGGGGATTGCCTTGTCTCCTCCCAGGGCCTCCCCCGTGGGTACCTGGGTAAAGGGCGAGGGTCTCCTCCTCCAGGCGACAGGCCTCCAGGAGCGCCCTGCAGAGGCAACCAATGGGATCCAGGGGGTGGCCCACCCATCCTTCCGTGTTGGTGATGCAGGTGGAGCCTTTTTGGAGCAGCTCTGAAGGCAGAAAGTAGGGGCTTAATGCCCGCCCACCTGCCTAAACCTTTGGGGAGGGGCTTCCTCTCCGACCCCCAGCCCAGCCTCCCAGGGCCCACCACCTGCCAACCTGGTGACCACGTCCTCTGCCCATGAGCGTTTGCCAAACCCAGGCCCGGCAGGGCACAGGAACGACACTGGGCGCTTTCTAAAACACGCAACCAGAGTGTCATTTCCCTCCTCCTAGTACTTAATCCCTCCTCACCTCACTGAACACAAAGTCCAAACAGCTTTCAGGGCCCCAAAGCCCAATATGAAGTTTCATCATACGGTGGCATATGTCCGTTCCCTCTGGAAGCCCATCCTCCAACCTTCTCCTCCAAGCCATGCACTGTCTTGCCTCTAGGCTTCTGCCCACGCTGTTCCTTCTCCTACGAACACTCTTCCTCCTGCCCTTTCTCCTGGGTACCTCCTATTCATCCTTAAGTTCTCAGCTTAGCTCTCACCTCTGGGGTCAGGGCTCTGCTTGGGGCCCAGAGCCCCCATGTTTCCTCCACGACACACACTCTGTTCAATTTCCTGATAGCTGCTCCGTCAACCCCGTCACCCAGAGAACCCAGCTGGTGGCCTCCTTCCTGTCCGCCACATATAGTCCACAAATGTGGTTTTTGGGCACATGCAGTGTGTTTGTTTTCTTAACACAAATTTCAATTCATTGGCCATATTTAACAAAATCAGTATATTCCACATCAAATAACCAGGTTTTTGGCCTCTTTGGAAAAATTGGAAGATCTGACCATACTGGGTCCATGTTCCAGAAGGGCACGTGGCAGCTTAGAAACTACATTTTCCAGACTCCGTTGCACGAGTTGTGGAAGATCAGAGAATGAGGCCGTTATTCTCCTGCAGCAGCTGTGAGCAGGTGTGTGGCCATGTGCAGGGCACAGACATGAGGTTTTGCCAGCAGGTTCTGAGTGTCCTCTTGCAAACTGCCAGCCCCCACCCCATGGGGGCTGTGGGCCACTGTTAGCAGTTTGCTATGGCCTCTACACCTTTGAGTTCTTGAACTTGAGCAGCAGCTTCTCCAACTTTCAATCCTACAGCCCTTCCAATGGTTTTGTGAACCCTCAATGCCCTGTATTAAATTCCTTTCTGCATGAGACACCCAGAATGGTTCTATTTTCCTGGTGGGATGCTGAGTGGTACCCCCAGACACTCTGGTTTGCCACAGCTCCCAGCGGTTGGCATTTGTGTCTGCAGCCCCGGGGACAGGATGGTAATGTTAGTGCCCACCTTTTTTCTGCTGCTTGTAGCTCTCAAGCTGGTGCCGCCGCTGCAGCCGGAGCGTGTTGACTATGGCACCTGCCAGCCGCAGGGCCTGGCGGGGGTATCCGTGGGCACGCAGGGCATCCACACGAGCGCAGGCAGTGGGGAAAGGTTCACCCAGCCAGAGTGGGCGGCCCTGGGGGTCAAAGGTCGGCTTGTCACCACCCACGCTGCCTGTGAGGCTGGGGCCATAGGAGTCGCTGGCCAGGATTCTCTGTAGGTGGCCGTCACTCCAATGCAGCTCTCCAGCCTGCAGGGCGCGGCCAAACACTGTGTGGTGGGAGGTCGTGGCTGCCACCTCCTCCTCTTCTTCCTCCTCTGAGCCTGCAGAAGAGGTGCCCAATGCCGCCTGGTGAGAGGGGCCCTAGCAGTCGAGCTATGACCAGCTTCCCCCACCAAGTGCTGACTTGAGGTTAGGCCCTGAGCATAAATCATCCCCTAATCCTCGAAGCAGCCCTTCAAAGATGTGTGTGTGTGTGTTGGGGGCTATTACAGCCCCACCGTATGGATGGAAAACAGCTTGAACAACTGTCTTTCTCTCCCCACTTGCCTTTTCTCCTTCCCTCTCTCCTCAATCTCTCTCTCCTCTCCTCTCCACTCCTGTTTCTCTCCCACTATCCCTCTCTCCATCCATCTCTGCTTCTCTTCCCTTGTCTCTCTCAAGATCTCCCTTTCCCCTTCTGTTTGATTCCTCCTGTCCTCTTCCCTCTCGCATCCTCTCTCTGCTTCCATAGCTAGTAGGAGACTAAGCCAGGAGACTAGATACCCAGGACTGCAGGGGTCTTAAGCACTTCACTGCCCATTAGGCTGCCATTGCTCCTGCCCTCAGCATGTACTCCCTCTTGGCTTGGAGGACAGCCAAGGGCTGAGGCCCGCTTTGCTCTCCCCACCTCCTAGGACAGAGCACCATGATGGGAAGTGGGGCCACAGTCAGTGGTGATGGTTTTGAGGGGCGAGGCAGGGACCCCTCTCCTACCTGGGCTGGGGGCCACGGTGGGCTGCAGGCTGGGGCCATCGAAGGAGTAGTTGCCCTCTTCCAGCGGGCACACATCGAGCTTGTCCCACTTGCCAAGCAGCTGGAGCCAGCCCGCCCGCTCCTCTGGTTTGCAGTGGGGGCTCAGGACGATGCAGACCCACAGGGCCCCTGAAGAGGCATGGGGAGGGCTCAATATTCATGCCAGCAGCAGCGGCATGCACTTGTGGAGCGCTTACTGTATACCAGGCACTGGTCTGCTTAACCCTCACCTTGACCCTCTGACGTTACAACTCACAGTTTTTTCACTTTACAGTTGAGGTACAGAGAGGTAATGCCACTTGTTCAAGATCACACAGCTGGTAAGTCAGAAATCAGGACGTGAAGCCAAGTGGCCAGATTCCTCTCAAGATTTTTTTTTCCTGTAGCAATTATCACCCTCTAACACAGGGCCAGGAAACCAGCAAAGCACTGCCCATGGAGAAAACTGAACTCACCATCTGTTTTTGATCGGCCTCTAAGCTAAGATTTATTTTTACATTTTTAAATGGTGGTGGGGGGGTGGGGAACCAAAAGAGTATTTTG